CTCATACACTTTCTCTTCCTAGATAAAAGTGAATTCGGTGCAGATCAGGTCATGTTAATTATGCTGTGTGTGCACCTGCTTGTTTGTATTCAGGCACTGATGAAGAGGATCAGGGAGATGACATGCTGCTGCAACACAGGATGGACTTCTGGTGGTTTCCTCACATGTGGAGCCACATGCAGCCTCACCTCTTCCACAATGTCAGCGTTCTGGCTGAGCAGATGAGACTCAACAAGGTTTTTGCTCAGGTGGGCAACATTATTACACTGGGCAGTCTCACAATATGGAAGCTTGATTTCCTGCAATAAAACAAAAACAAAAATACAGCAGATTACAGAGAGGGAGATGCTGCAGTTTTAAAAACAATTCCGCAGGTGCATCTGATCAGTTACACTGACACCGTTCTGTCATTTTGACATGTCACTTCACATTTCAGTGAATATTCTTCACTGCAGCAGTGGTCACGTATAGTTTTACATGATATAGCAGTATTTGTGATGCATCTTTTTCCAAGATGGCGCCAGTGTGTGTGGCTCGCCGTCTGGCTCTTCCTCTGCTGTGTTTGCTTATGTTGTTTTTTATTGCTAGAGTCAACTCTCTTTTAATGTACAATCGCCAAAAACTGTTGGACCTCCGAGTTGCCAGTGATCTTACCAATGCAACTTATAATGGACATAAGGCGTCCATTCCTGTCTGGGATACCAGCTAACCTTTGTCGGACCCTGGCCCCAGCCTCACGGCGAAAGCGTTTCAGACGCCGGGGCAAACGTAGCGGTCTACTCGTGAAACTTAAGGCGTACTTGGCGCGCTCTTCCCCGGCTCCGTGGAACGAACGTGGATCTGTATCTTGTCATGCCTTTTCTCCGTGCTCTCTGGAGCCCATCGATGCCTGGCTGGTGCCCGTTGTTGGCTCGGATCAGATGTCCCAGCCACGAAAGATTTCCCCTCATCTTCGTCGGCGCGGTGCGAACCTACAGAACCTACGACCGCTGCGTCGGGTCTCGCTGTCAGCCACGAACACGCTGACCTCCACCAGGTCTGGATTGGTGAACACTAGATCGCTGAGTAATAAAACTTTTATTTTAAGGGATTTATTTATGACCCAAGGACTGGATTTCCTCTGTATAACTGAGACATGGTTGAGGGTCGGTGAGTCCAGTGCTTTCACAGATCTCTTACCTGATGGCTGCAGCTTTTTAAACTCTCCTCGAATATCAGGCAGAGGAGGAGGACTAGCGGTTGTTTTTAAGAAGCAGTATAAATGTAAACCACTGCCATTATCAACCTCACCTAGTAGCTTTGAACTGAGTATGTTTGAGCTAGGTCGCTCTCACACAGTGCTCTGTGCTGTGGTTTACAGACTCCGCAAATACAATAAGAACTTCTTAAATGACTTTTCTGATCTGTTGGCTGAAATTATGCCAAAATATGATCATGTCCTTATTATTGGGGACTTCAATATTCATGTGTGCTGCCCTGACAAGCCAATGGCAAAGGAC